CAGCGCTGTCATTTCCCTCCCCACTAGCTGCTGCTCTCTCAAGCACCATCTTCACTGTTTGCTCTTCTCGTTGTCCTCTTCCCTCCCTTACACATCTTTCCTCACTGCTTCCTTACCCAGGGCTACCCAGTTTGTGGTGACAGCCAGCAAAAAACATCTTGCGCTTCAGAAGCGGGAGGAGAAGCTCAAGAGAAGGGTCACAGAGTGCTCCAGGAGCTGGGTTTTAGTCATGTTCGCTTTGTCAGTTAGTGCTATCCCACGTAGGAGAGGCGAAGGCGACCACTTCAGAGCGAGAGGCAGCGCGAGCGCTGATCTCTGCTCAGCTGAGGTCACGGATTAAAGAAAAAAAAAAAAAAAGAGGAAGCAAATTTAGAAAACAGGGAGTTTGCAAGTAAGGGACTAAGAATAATGAGATGGTCTCGGTGGAAATAATGAACAACCCACACAACTTCCTGGGCAGAGCAGCACTTTGGAGCCCTGGGGTCACTCCCACTGTCTCATCCCGCCTCCGACCTGTCTTGAACACACACAGATAAACTTTAGAGATGAAGGACCATTAGCTATTTTGATAATTTGAACCGTGGAAAAAAATTTTAAAAAACCAGTGAGGGTGTGCATATATATGACCAATGGAAATCAAACCTCTGAAGTGCAGATTATTTTAATTAAAGCCAGAAGAGCATGCAAGATGCATGCTTCTGACCAACAGTTTCCATTCTGATCTTTAATTCCGATGAAAATACACGAGTGCCTTTGCTCAGCTCCCACATTAAAAGCATCATCTTTAAATAGCAGTGGGGACGCTACTGATCCCAAGCAGCAAAATTCCAACATGGGCAAGCAGAAAGTCCTGCAAAACATCACACAGCTTCTCTGGGTTGTTTTGCATTTGTAGAGCCCTCAAGGGAGCCCACAAAGCATTTCCAACCTGACAAAAAAGCAGCTTCAGAGCTGGGAATCCCATCCATATGCCCCGCTCTGGCACCAAGATCCCATTGCTGAACCACCCCGTGCCCTCTGTTTTGTGACACCCGCGTAAGGAAACGCGGCCCCTTCAGGCCTCACACTCTCACTGCTGCCTCTCCCTTTCAGGCGCTGGCCCAAGGACTCACAAGCAGAAGCAGGTGAAGCTTTGCAGGCACCTAACAGGGCAGGGGAAAAAAGAAAAGGCCCTGCAGCAGCTTTTCATCTTCCTAATTAATTACCTGGTAAATACGAAAGCCCTGCTTCTCATAAAAGTCTCATGCATAAGACAAGGACAATTAAAAGGGGTGGAAGGAGGATTCAGATAACGCTGTTGACTGTTTTTTTCCAGCACAACCTAGTTTTCTTTGAAGGAAGACCTAACATCTAGGAGCTTTTAAGATGTGTGTGTGAACTTGCAAAACATATTTCACAAGAACTAGTGAATGATCCTCCAGATCCCAGGAGCAGCAAAACATGCAACGCGGCAGCTTCGCCACATCCACCATATGAGCTCAGAGACGTCACAGACACCACGATGGCAATACCACGTACCTTAGTAACTAGATCATACATTTGTTCCCACAGCTTATTCATTTTATTGCCTCTGTTGACCTGTATTAGTGAAATGACGCAAGGATTAAGACTTTTGAACATCTTCAAAGGCAGGTGCCTTTCTAAAATCTGATGCATTTTGGCAGTTTTGAGTGCAGTGAAGTCAAGCCCCTCCAAAGTCCAGGTTTAGCATGGCCTTTGACTGCCTCTCATTCTGCTCAAAGTGCTTTTAATTCACCATAAATACTATTTAAACAATGCGGAACCATGGTGGAACCATACCTTCAAACTTCATATAATAGCTAGCAATTTTATACACACATAAATAAAAACTGAACTTCCACAAAACTACCAGTTCGTTTACCAGTTTGCATAGCTTTGCAAAAAGAATTAGTGTTTCTTTTTGCAGTTAAAATAACTGAATTACTCGACCCTTGCAGGCCTGGAAGGGGAAGGAGGGAAAGCAAACACACCTCTCATGATCATTTAAACTCACAGACTACCATAACAGCATGACTTAAAACTAAAGAAATCTGAAATCTATTTCTGAGCATTTGAAACTTCACAACTTTTTACATCTCCAAAGCGATATTACTGAGGTTTAGTATGACATTTTTGAAATGTCACCAGCACTGTCTCGAAACCAAAAGTCTTAACACAGAACAGACACCTACCTGCTTTATTTTTGAAAGAACATTCTATATGGGGTCTGATCTTCTAAAAAACTCCATACAGATGCTTTCCCATCCTTAGTTAAAAATATGAATTAAAAAAGGCAATTCATCCCAGAAACTCGTTTCCCTGTCCAAATAACCAAAGACTGCAAAATAAATGGCTTAAGCCACTTTCTGAACACCTTTTAATTACCTCGATAGTCACGAACTTTGAATCATAAATATTTTTAAATCATGAAATATTTTTTCCCTGAAATAAACTTTGTCACATCTAGAAACTAATACTATTTATTCCACAAAGGCCTTTCAGAATAACTTTGCTTTTGCCCGAGAGCAAAAGCTTGATAATGTGGTGGGCACATACCAGAGAGTCACTCAAACTCCCCATTTGATCCCCCTGCAATGGCACTCGCAGAAGACAAACTCCCTGTCACAAACCTGGCTCTTTCTCTAGCACAATTTTAAAACCAGTATCGATAGTAGGCTTATGCAAGGGTACCACCAGTCCTAACTTCTGCACAGAGGAGCTTCTGCATAAACACGTTCTCTGCATTATTGCTGCATTTGTAAGCAAAATGAACCTAGGTTGTTCGGAGAGGTTACAAAGAGACCAATGTGGATTATGTTCATTTTGCAAAGTACCAAGAAAAAGGATTCATCTGCCTTATTTCTGGTAAGCGTCTTGCTTTGCTAAGTTACCCCTGGCAAGCATGTTACATGTTTGTTTAAAAGACAGCCTAAAGCCAAGAGTCACTTGTTACGCCTAAGAATGTGCCAATATACTAATCCATCTGAGATGCGGATTTTCCTAAGTACTGACACATTGGAAAAGCAGCAAAGTGGAAGTCATCACCGGTGCCACAAACAAGGATTTGCTGCTTGGATGTCCTGAAAGGCGCTGAAAAACGCCATAATTGTGCCCCAAATCAGCAATCCTGGGGGTGACAGCGACGGCTGCTCCTCAGCTGACAGCCCTGAGGACGCCCCTGGGGACACCCCCCAGAGGGACCGTCCCAAAGGGCTCCCAGGGCGGCTGCCACAGGCACCCGGCACTTACCCGTTTCATCCGTCTCCATCCCAGCTTATTCCGCGGCTCCTCCAACTCGCGGCTCAGGAGTGGTTTTCCTTGACACAGACAGGGAACAACCTCGGGAGAAATTGCTTTAGTGGGACTTGGACCAGCTTGGACTGATTCTGCTTCTTCAGAAGTTACAGAATTTCACACTGAAGAAAATGTAATTATTGCCACTGTTCACATCTTGCTACTAATATTCACACAGTAACACAGTGAAAATAAAACAGAAAAACAATCATATGATCAAAATCAGATAAAGTAAAGATGCTTTTTGTAATGTAGTCCTTTTGCTCAGACACATCATTCTATCAGCATACGTAAATAAACACAAAATTTACTTACTTGAGCATTGGTAAATGTTTTCTTTCTGTCACTCCACCACAAAAAGATCCTTATTTAGCTGGTAATAAAGACAGACTCAAACTTTATTTTATTTTTTTTAATAAAGTTTAAATAATTAAAATAAGAGGAAAGAGTATGCCTTAAAGCCAAGCTTTTTATTGTTCGTTTCATGCCAGGCCTTAAAAGTTGGATTTACTAGCAAACATAGGGCATGAAAAGAGAGTTGAATATCTAAATGCTGGTGGATAAGAATATGGATAAGAATAGGCAGTGACTTACTCCATTTTACCTTTAAATAAAAGAAAGTCTTATAGTTTTTCTTTTTAGGGCCCTGCCTCTTTTATCCTGAATAATGGAAAATTATCCCCACAAAAATGCCTTTTTTCCTTTATTCACCGGCAGTACGTTGAAATTCTCCAGAATATTTAGATGTGGCTGCCTGCAAAAGTTTTTAGATGCCAATCCAAAACTGTAACAAAGATTCCAAACAGAGCTGAAAATTAGAATAATTCAACCAAATCATCCCACTGTAAGAATATTGGATTTCAATTCTTCATAAACACAGATCATTTTGTTTCATTTTAAAAATTCTTCTTGACCTGCAGAACACAGGGGCGATTCACTGTTACTTTTCTCCCTCCATTGCTCTCCTCAGCGCTATTTCCTCATTTGTGTATAAAACGCTATTTGTTTTATTGAGGTTTTTGTGCCCTCGGGGCTTTCCTCGCTTCAATTCTGCCCCCTACCAAAGACTTCACTCTTTAAAGGGGTTTTTGATTGATTGGATTCTTGGTTTCTTCTTTTCCAGATATAGGTAAATGTCCTACGACAAAGGCAGGAGAAACAAAGCGAATGGCAGCAGCAGCGGGGGCTGCCACAACATTTGCAAGCCAAGATCACTAAGAACTTTAACAGCTACTTTTTTTTTTCAAATAAAAATGTCATGTTTTGTTTAGAAAATGTACTTGATGTTTATAGTAAACATAATCTTGTGCCACAAACAACCAAAGAAATAGAGACAAGACAATATGGCACAGTTTGATGAATTCAGTGTAACATGAAAAATGGCAGAATCCTAGTAGCAGCTGTAATGGTAACAAACACTAAAAAAATACATAAACAAAAACAAAAATAAAAAATCCAAGCCAATAATCTAAAAATACATCTGCTAAATTGAGGAAAAATCTATGCAACGAGATTATAAGCTTTTAAATTTCAGACTGGTTACCCAAGGACCACAGGAGAAAACTAAACTCAGATGTAAAGTAGTACTAGCTGGAAAAGCCTCAGCTTTCCAAAATTCAAAATTATTAAAAAGCAATACATCTGCTCATCGTACTATGATTTAACTGTTTTCTAGTCTATGGGAATAAAGAGCAGGATACAATAGCTTGCAACATCCATTTACTTTTTTTTTTTTTTTTTTTTTAAAAAAAGCTTTTAAAACTAATTTAAGAAAATATTCTCACAGAAAAAAAATAGATGAGCACAAAGAAATGCCGTGACAAATCCTGAGACAAATTACCCTACATCATTGCTATTCTATGAAAACTGGTTTGAATAATAAACATACTGGAGTACATTAAGTAACTGCATACAAATCAAAAGTATTTGTAAGTTATTAAGTTGTGCATGTTTTTAAATGACAAAACATGCTCATGGGTTTACTTTAAAATCTCTCACTGCTTGTTATCAAAGTTAAAAGATCATTTGCATACCAATACACATACTGTAAACATGAAATTCTCATTAAGGAAAGATGGGTTTACAGTAATTTGATCTTTTACAAAAAGCTATTGGTAACTGAATCTCTCAGTGTCTAACTTTCTAGAAAATTAAACCAATGTTTCCACTCCCCAAGGTGAAACACGACCGCTTTAGGAAATACCCCTGTTTATTTGTGAATCAGAAATACAATCAAGTGGCATATTTCCATTTGCTCTTCAAGCTGACAGTTTCAGCTTCATTCTATTTTACAAGAAAACAGCAGACTTGCAGAAGTCCTCTAAAGGCTTTCATATCGCAACCCAAGTTTAATTACAGCAGGGAAGAAAAGCAGTGGTGATGCAGAGTAAGATCAGCCCAATTGCCCCTATCTGCTGATAGGATCTCTCTTCCTGTTTGGCTCGCAGCAGTGAGGACTTTTGTTTTGTTTCATTTTTTGCTTTTTGTTTTAGTATTTTTTTTCCGGTCCGCCTGCCTCCATCAAGGAGCAAAAAGTTGACCTGCTCTTATAACTCGAGCTTGAGAATGATCCTTGTACCAGGAGAGCAGAGTGTCAATCGGTAGGCCGGGGAATGATACTGATGTGAAGAAAGTTATCTGGATAGCTCATATGTTCACTTAGCCACTGCAGTGGTGTTTCCAGCATTGGCTCAATTCCATGAATCATCACTTGGGTCTTCTTTTCTCCATCTAATTCAAAGAAAAAGAGAAACCACTAAGGCACCTCTCAGAGTTCACAGAAAGATTAAACACACAGCTAACTTGCAATAGGCAGAACTGGGGTGCTACCAAGCTTGACATTTAAGAGAATGGAAAGCAAGAAACACTTGTATGGAGAAAGCTGAGAATTGTATTATCTAAAACAGAAACCTTGAGCTAAAACTAATTCCAAGAAAAAAAAAATGGTTAAAACGAAACTTAATGAAAGTGTCTCTCTACTACTAGCAACTTTTTCTCCTACAGCTTCCTGTTCACCCAGTTAAGGCATATCCATCTCTCCAAGTTTTAGCCATGTGAGATTTGTGCAGATCCTGCTTTGGACATTGATTGAGCTTCCTAAAAAAAAACAGCTGTAATGTAATGTAATACATGTAATACTTTACGTGTAATACAGCTTTTTCAGCAGAACACGTCATGATATCTATCACCAAAAATCACTTACTCCTGAAGGGATTTTACTTTGCCACAAATTACATCTTAAATACTTAACAGTATTGTCAAGAATTACTCAAATGCTAAGTTGGCACAAACTTTTCCTCACTTAGTTTCATCTTGTGGAAAAGCTATGTTAACAAATGATTCTCAGTATGACAGGAATATATTCTAAGAATATTTCAATTCTTTTTATTTATGCTTGTCCCGAAGGATGCAAATACTTTGATCCTCTGGTTCAAATGATGGGAACCAACAAAACCAACTGAAATAACTATCACAAAATGAACTAAAAAAAACCCAAAATGAAAATTTATTTCAGAGTCTCGAGAGGAGAACAGCATTTGAAATATGCTCTAAATAATGGTTAGGAAAAAAGACAGTGACCTTTTACTGTTTTTATACTCTGCTCCAGCATTCTCACATGGACCCACCACAGCGACTGCTCAGAAATACCACTGCCTTCCCCAGCTGGCATCTTGTCTGCCCCTTGCCCGAGAAGCAGGGACAGGCCCCACCAGACAACCGTGCTGACCAAGAGCTCAGCAGCACTGAGGAGGGACTGGACCTGTTACTGCCTCTTTCATTCTGCTCCCCTATCTCCAACATAATCCTTATTTGGTAAACACAAAATCTTCCTTGTGTTCAATAAAGTGATTTTTCAGCTTTCTGAAGTACATACTGTAAATTGGCATCTATGTCAGCACAACCTAAACCGTACCTGTTATCAAGTTATCCTTGAATCTCTGTTGACTTTATGCTAGTGATAATACATCCTGAAGATGCAAACAGTCAGGTTTGTCCAAATTCTAGCCTCATATATTAGTTATATACCATCTACATAGAGTACCTTATTCTGTACAACCACCCAGTTAAAACATATACAGCTTGATTCCATAAGTAACACAGTATGCATGTTACCACATTGAATTAAGCATAAATATTTTGCTGCAGACAAATCAGAAAATGGGTCACTGTCCTTTGAAAATAAACTACTGGGATTTCAAACCAATATAAAACACAGGCTTTATTGGACAGAAGCATTAGCAGTCAGGTAGGCAAGAATATAAACTCTCAAAGAAATACTTGTTTTAGTATCCAAGATTGACAAAACAGTTGGGACATGGCTTTTTTTTTTTAGGCTTTTTGGTTCTTTAAATAAGGCAACGAATTCTCCTCAAAACACTTCTTTTTTTATTTGTTATTTTATATGCATGTATATATATACACACACACATATATATATTTGACACTTCTCAAAATAAAGCCTGTCGCTGGTATTCCACAAGTTGTCCAATTTGATGACAGTCATTTACATTTTGGGCTATCAGTTAATTTTTTGGTAACAACAAATTGGCATATATGGGCAGAACTCCTCTAGAATGATTTTGGCACTATGTAACCTGCTAGAAAAAAACAACCGTCTGAAAAAAGTAACTTTACCAACACTTAAATAAAATCCCCAAAGCACAGAATTTCACTCTACATGCCAACATGATACTATTGCAAAATTATTTGATCATGCATCAAAAGTTATACAATAATTTAGACATATTAGTCCTCATTTTTCTCTGAAAAAATATATTTTTACATTTTCTTCAGATTTTATGCCCTAATCCTGTCCTTAAATATATCTTACAGTCGCCCCCATAGCTGTGTGATTTGTGATTTTAACAAGAGCATTCTTATTATTGGGCTGACAGATAAAAAGTCTGTTCAGGAACGATTCAATTCTTCATTTCTTTTTCAACAGTGAATCATTAGTAATCACTCTCCTTGTAAAAGCTACCTGGGTATTTTTTTTTACTTCTAGAATAACAATAATAAAATAAATAAATAAATAAATAAATAAATAAGGTTTCTCATTCAAGTATGTGCTGGCAGTGACCAATTTTACTGAATTCAAGGAATATCTACAAGTTCTCTTTATCTTCAATACCTGCAGCCTACTGAAGGTACAGATAAGATGAATTTGAAACCAGTCTGTTCATGTCAAATGCAAGTGGGCCATTACTCATGTCCTTGTTAACTAACCAATGTTTATAAACAGTCTAGGCTAGATTCAGATTACACCATATGGCATTAGTACCGTGCTAGCTGCCTACGTACAACTGACTATTTTTACTGGAAACCTATGCAGAAATAGGTGAAATACCATAGAACTTCAGTATCAGCTTTTTGTTATGGGAGGAAAAGCTGATAAGTATTTACCCCTTGATTTTTCTTTCACTACATACCATGATTTTTTAAGGTGGTGTCTGCATATTTATACACTCTAATTTGATGCCTAATTTGACGCCTCTAATTTGATTTGAAATGCAGTCTTTCTGGATGTTCCCATCCCCAGCTTCCACCCACTTTTGTTCCCACTTTCTCATACAGATCTTTCATTCTGCTCCTCAGCAACTTGAGTAAGTCTCAGAGGTCAATGAAGAGTTTAGGTTTAACTGGAGTCTGCATCTCTGCATTACCAGTGTTTGTGCCTTGGTATTATCTCTGACAAGGCATCACTTCTTAATTCCTTTTACCCCTGAGGCTTGACTAGCAAGATCTTATCCACCCATTCTGTATTTACTGTAGCTTTCTTTCCACATAATCTATTGTTTTTGCTTTAGCCTTTACCCCTCCTTTTGTTACTAAGAACCATAAGCTCTCCCTCTTAAAAACACATTCATCCAAGCTTTCTTCGAATTTCATGTTTTTGATAATTTTCCCATTTTTGAACCACATGCAGAGATTTTTCGATAGATGGCTCTTCCACTTTATAGCAAAAACCCGTCAACAGCCATATGTTAAAAGAATTTGCTGGAAAATATTCTCATTTTCTCAACAGGTACCTGCCTAGTTAGCATTCACCACTTCACTGTCATCTCAGTTCTAGATGATTTGCTAGCTCTTCTGAAACTTCATCCACCTGGTTTACATCTGTATTTATACAGATGTCCTTTGTAGCATCCTGACACATCAAGCGGTATCCTCTCTCCCCATCCCTTATTCTATGATAATCCAAACTGCAAGAAGATTGACAAAATGAATTTGTAAGTTACAAGTTTACAAATTGTTAAGCAAAGTATACTTGAGTGGTGTAAGGTTTAGATAATTTAGTTGCAATTAAGTTTAATATCATATCATTGGACTAGGCCTGTAAAAACTGGGGCAAATAAAGAGTTATTTGTAGCACACAGTGTCCACATCTGAGAAGATCATAACTGCCAGTCTTTACTTTACAGTATTCAGCAATGTAGTAAGACTCTTGGTTTTCTTGAAAACAAGGATTTAAAATTTTCCAGTCACCCCACCTATATTTTTCTTTTTTAACCGAGATAAAACTGAATTACCTAATGGCTATCATATAACCGAAGGATGGTTTATTTTATTCTGTTGCAAATTAAGAAAGAGGATAATGGAAATATCAGAAAAATAAAAGCATGGCAATAAATGTTCCATAGAAAATTTTATAATGTGTGCACGTAACTATTGACTTAAGATCAAAGCATTTTTATATTACCAAAGTGACAAACAGGTAATAAATACTCTTTTAGCACTTACAAGAAAGCCTTAAGACCTATAATGTCATTTCCTATCAGGGTGCATGTCCCGGGCTTAAATGATTTTCCTTTGCTATCCTTGTGAAAATGCACAAATTCAGAGAGCACTAAATTACTCGTGGCCTAAGATGAGATGAGATTTTAAGATTTGCTGCCAAAGCTTCTGGGCACTTCATCTGCGGAAGATATAAAACTATGCTCACATGCTGCACACTAATACATTTTGGGGACATTTCAGATGACCTATTGTAGACATCCTAAGGAAAATAAGAACTGTAAAATTCTAATGAGGTGCTTCTTGCATAGGCTTATACCGGAGGAGGATGCTAAAATGTAGGAGGGAACATAACCAAGGAAAACGCCATGCAGTAGCAGTGCTATGAATAATGTTACAGGACTAGCCACAGCTGAAAGAGCTAGAGAAATGGGACCTAAGTATCTTCTTGATCATCTCTGGACCACATAATCATTTCTAGATTAGATAAATGTATTCCTGACAACATGTTATACCAGACAGCGAGAAAACTCATTTCAAGGCAGAGTGACAGGGAAGTGATTCTCCTTCCGGGATCTGGTTTGCCGGCTTCCCTCTCCCCCATTACTGCTCCTCAGAGCGGCAGATATTTCAGAGCCATCACTGTGAAGCAGTCAGCACACTCTTTGACAGCATGCGCTCAGCAACAAGAGATAGGACCTCCCTTTTTTTTTTTTTTAAACCAATATTTAACTTTCAGTAACATGCTTCACATGAAGATGCAGCTACATTCATCACTAACAAATATTACTGCCTTTTTTTCCTTAAAGCCTAAAGCCAATCTGGGACCAAGTCTCTGGCCATCAAAGACAAAAAGTTCCTTGTAAAAGGCTAGTCTTGCAGTCTAACAGAAATGATTGCATACAAAACTATCTACAGTCATTTACAAAAGATTATACTGCATAGCAAGTAAAGAAATTCAAATACATTCTCACTTATCATGGGTGAGAAAAAAT